GTGTTACTCATATTCATTGTGTCATTCTTCACTTGCTATATTATTTAGCACATGCTCATGCTCATGCTCATGCTCTAATATATATATATATATAGATATATATAGTAGTGTTGCTCATATTCATTGTGTCATTCTTCACTTGCTATATTATTCAGCACATGCTCATGCTCTGTTACACAAGAGCGTACATAAACCTTTGAATCAAACTCCACACCTCCATCGATTTCAGCATCACCTACACTTACTAGGCAATATTATTTAAGTGAACAAGTAGATATACTGCTCATCTAGCAAGCAATATGCCCAGAAGGCAAGCATGTACATGTGTATAGACATACATTTCCATTCTCGATGATTTCACGGATGACTGAGATATAGGGCTCAGGATCATTGGCAGCCGGACCCAGTACATCAGCCATGGTCTTGCCACCACCCATGGGTGTAGATCCCAGCTTTCTCAGTTCTGGGGCGGCTTGGTTCTCAAAGACAGTACGGTACATAGCACTCTCATTGGCAAGTGATTTGTTGAAGTCTTTGGTATAACGTTTTTTAAATGTAAGCACGTGCAGGTTGTACTGCACCCATTTGCCCATCATTTTCTGCGTAGAGTCTCTCCATTCGATGAAAAATTGGTAGCCCCACCAGCCTAAACCAGTCAGGACGGCGACAGCCAGGACAAGCTTGCCCCAGAAACCTAGAAAGTCTAACATATTGAGTTTGTGATGAAGTTGTATGTGAATCTGGTATTAGTATACCACAACCTTGATGTGTTATACCTAAATAAGGACGATAATTGCAGGGCGATATTTAGGTGTAGACTATTACCCTAGTAGCAAATAGAGTCTAGAGAGAGAGGGTAGAGAGAAAGGGTAGAGAGAGAGAGAGAGAGCGAGAGAGAGAACGCTCACTGACTGTAACGAGTGTAAAATTGTAAATATGAGTGTATTTAAAAATAAACAACTTTACCGACGGCTGACCGGCTGTCAGCCACCAGGGAGCCTGCGGCCCTGCGGCCTGCCACAAGAGGTCACAATACCGGGTGCCCTCGTCGTAAAACAACAGCAAATAGAATCTCAGCTGACAACGGTGGGAAATAAAGGCATTGTTTTTGAAGGGCTGAGTGAGAATATTTATAGAAGAAAATAATATACATTTTTTTTAAAGAGTTGGCTTTATTTTAGAACAAGAATACACAGTATGTATTAAATAATTTCTTTAGAAATAGAACAAGTATGACGAAAAAGATTTAAAAGACAACATCTATTACAACGGAATATTATTTTATTGGGATATATTCACATAGCCTGCTAATTATACATATTTATTCACTGGAATATAAAATAGTGTCTGATTTGAAGGATATGAATATGGGCCATCTGCGGAAAACGAGAAGATAAATCATATGTACAGTAGCCTTCTAAATTTATAGATGAATGCCATAGGTCCAATTTGTAGCATGCGTGGCCCAGGAGTCGTCCTCAAAATACAAAAAAAGGTATTGCACCGAAAACAGTAAACATAAAATGTTGAAAATCTAGTCAATTTCTGGGAAACAAGCTCTGTTTGATTGGTAGAGTGTATCCAAAAATAGAAAAAGCGGGAAAAAAGAAGTGCACGACAAGTTGTTTGCACATTTGTACGTAAAAACATATTATGTGGTGCTCATACACAGTCTGAACAATGTATATTCACATACATATACACTCATACAGAACAGACGGCTCATTATTAGTAATACAGTTTTTAATTTGAAATGCATATGCCATACTATTTGGAACACAGGTAGCACTGTGCTATGGTATATATATATAAATATATATTTATATATATACATATATTTATATAT